ACTGTAGCACGGGTTGTGGCTAGCGGTAATAAAGAATGTATACGTGTACGAACAAACTCGCTCCTATTGGACCTTTGTAAACACAGCGCGGCCTTGAGCCCTCCCAGCATGTATCTCGTGCGCTATAACAAAGCCTACACGGTATGAAACGTAAACGTGACATACAACATATTGACATACACTATGGGCCTGCCCACTCCCACACACACACACACATAGACCTCTAACGACATGGTGCAGGACATTTGCTATCCATGCACGCAAATAACCCATACCCGTTTACGAAGCGAACAACGTCATGAAACGTTAATGCGAGACACAATATACTGGCATGACCCGTCGGCGTAGCCACCCACCCATAGCTATCTGCACCTCTGACACACAGCGCGAGCTAGTGGTTGTCCACACAGGAATCTCGTACTTGTCAATAATCAAGCTACGAAACACTGACGTGAGATACAACATACTGGTGCCAAGAGTAAAGCAAACAACCCCCCACACACACGCACACGCACCTGGTCCTCTGATGATGTGGCGTGGTCTATTTTCCCTCCACGCAGGTATTTCGTACTCGTTCACAAAGCGGATCACACAATACACTGTGAAAGTGGCGTACAGCATATTGGCCAGCGCAACAGCACCGTAGGGATAAGTCATGGTGTACGCATACGCATTGATCGAGGCCAGCGCAAAGAACATGGGCCCGAAGATCTGAGTCATCTTGGTGCGCGCCATGATGACCAAGAATGCCTGAAGAGTCGTATGACAGGGAGAGGTAACGTTATGATGTCAGCAATAGGTTTGCGAAATGTTGGATATGTAGTCGGAATGAAGGCGAGAAGATACGGAATGTTCGCTGCATTCTTCTGAGTGCACGAATGGCTTGGCTTTTTAGTAGTCTGATAGTCAAGTGAACACCCCGGGGGAGTATACCTATAGTCCCGCTACGTGAGGTCCAGACCATTCAAATTGACTGCATAGACCATGTGCAATACGGATAGACGGGGTGGGGGTAGTAAACGATTGAGTGTAGGTGCACTGTTGCAGGGAAGTGTCTGACTGAGAGCCCTATGAGCAAATGTACTAGAAAATTGGGACGTGACAAAGAGATGTGGGGCCAAGCCTGTGGTTAGGCTATGCGCATATCAACCAATGACAGGTGAGCGCCCCTGTTTTATTATGTGTTATATAATACTCTCACGTGTGGCACATACAAAGCGTGTACCTATGGAGACGAGTCGGCCATACCAGGCATGTGTACAAGTATGCAAACGTATATATGAGGTCACGCATGTATATGTACGAAGATACACAGGTGAGGTGATCATATACAGAAAGAAGATCCCTGCATATAGGCACCGGCAACTACCCCCCACACCCATAACAAACCCATCCCAACATCACACCGCACACATCTCAACACAGAGATATCCCCACCCACCTGGTAGTACGTGGCAATCATAAACCACAGCCCAGGCGTGGTGGTATCTTCTGGGCGCAAGGCCAGGTACGTGACGCCCCGCAACACAAACAAGACGATGATGGAAACAACGACCAGTCCACGCACACAACGCTGCAGTGCGCGCGTGCGGCCCGCCTCGATATCATAGTAGATCCCAGCCACAACATGCACCACCGGGAGAAACGGGCACAAGACCGTGAAGAACAGCACCCCTGGAGCGCCTGCGTCTGCGTAGTAGCAATTGATTTCGGCCCTCAACCCGCTGTGAGATATGGGATGGGTGGAGCGGCACATGGCCTGAGAGGTCAGTCACGTCATCACGCGCGAGCGCAAAGCAGCGCGAATGATTTATGGCGCCACGACAGACCGCGCATTAAAAGCCGCGCACTGACAAACACTTTGTACAAACGGTACTTACAGACACTTCGTGTTAACTGAACTGTGCTTAAAAGCACTTCATGATGATTGTGCTTGCAGACAGTTTGTACTAATTGTGCTTACACACACTTGTGCTGGGTGTCTATCAAGCACTGTACACCGGGCCACAGTAGATGAACATGCAGGCGTGAGCGCCTAAGCTTAATCCCCCCCCTCCCCCCCCTTCCCGTAGTAAAGGTCAAACAAAATTCTACAATAGAAGGTCGTACTCTGGTTGGACTGGCGGCACAGAAACAATCTCTTGTTATATAGGCTAATCCTTTCAGACACGTTCCGCCACACCCGTTGTGTAATGTATGGGACCACTTGCACCCGCCGCAGTACACAGGACTTGAGAGGAACCTGTATCACACAACGGGGATGAGACAATCTAGCACCACATGCACCACATACGAACACCGGACGACACCGGACGTGACACATACGTGGGTGTGAAGAGGTTGAGCACACTTAGCACCCCCGCGGCCGTACTGGGCATCGAGGTAGCCCCACGAGTCACGCTGCTCAGGATGACGTCCTGCACTACGTACTGCACCAGTGACGCGATGACGATGTACATCAACACAGAGTTGGCACACAGGCGCAAAACCAGTTCGAGCCGATAGTACTGGTCGGCTCCGAACCGCAGCTGGTCTGGTACGGCGAAGTTTATAACCTGCGGAGAAGGAGGGTATGAATGGATGGTCTCAGGAATCATGTGCGCGGGAAATAGTCGCGTATTTATCGTATTTCGAGGTCTCAAGTTGCAGATAGCTTCGGGTCTTGAGTCGTGCTAATAAACTGACTTGATATCGCCGAGACCAACACACAAGCAGGTATACAAACACATGTGTACTTCCGTATAGGCGTGCAACGGCATGCACGTCATATGTAGATACTGATAGTAGCAGCCATAACCATCAAATGAAACCCAATCTGGTTTCCGTTGCACTCCCTTGACCGTGTCATATAACAAAGCCTCATCAAGGCACATGTCCCCTATCACAGGAGATAGCAGGAGTCTGGAGGCGCCCTCGCCCTTAGACCCAGATAGAAAGATAGCCAGAGAATAGGCGTGAAATGGCCCTGACCCATGCGAGCGCGTGTGACTCACCGCCTGGATTGTTCCATTGGGACTGGTGATATAGCTGTCCTGGGCTGACTGCGACAGAAGCATCGGGTCGACCACAGACCGGGCAGGCACAGACATGTCGTAGATCACTCCCGTCTCTGTGTGGGTGTGCAGAAACCATCGCGTAGTTATATGAGCGCGTGTGAATATGAATGTGTCCTTTGGACTGCGCTGCGAGTGGGTGGTGGAGACGCGAACCAGTGCCACACACGACGGCCACTAGACTGAGCAGAAGCCAGAGGCCATAAGAGTAGAAGTGCGTGTAGAAGTGTACATATGGACGTGCACACAGTGTTTGTGATTCAAGGCTACGTGAACACGGGTAGGCTTGGCCTTGGTTTGGACCTGAGTGGGATGGGCGCTCCATCCACTTGCCCTACGGTAGCGAACAAGAACAGGTGCCTGGAGGCCACACCGCCGAACTGATATATCAAGCATACCGCAAATACTACATACGCTAGCCGAGCAGCCAAGTCCAGCATGTCAATTCTCATCAACCATGTTGATCTCAAGTCTTCTGTATAGGCTAGTCCTAGCTTTTAGCGCTGACTGCCTTCTGCACCACACACACACTAACCAATTGAGTTCTATAGTGCCGATATAAATTTATCAGATCTACTATATCACCTTAGCAAGTAGGTGTGTTGTATCGAGCGAAGCAAACTATTGGATTCATACGACCTCATCGACAAAATAAAAGAACCCATCCCCTGAAAAACACAACCACTACCCACTGATCAGCTAGATAGTGTCTTCTACGCTGCACCGGCTATCAATTATACAGCGAATGCTAAGCTTGTCCGAAAGGGTGAAAGACTACGTAAGCACACCCGATAGCCATACACCGACAAATCTAGCGTCAAACCCTGCATCCAGACTACAAGCTATATAGCACACGTATACAATGTCCCTTGAACCTGTACCTTTTCCCTTAAATAGATGTCCCAGTAATACTACAGTTGAGTCTCTTCGCTTTGCACATACCCGAGTGACGTACAAACCCGACTCCGTCACAGGCCATAAAGAACGCGTTGACCATGTACGCATCCTCGATCCCACGACCTATCCAGGCCTTTAGTTCACGCTCGATCTCCCGCTTTGTGAATGCTAGTTTCCAAACAAAATCCTCAATTACATTGTTTACGATATCAAGGAAGTCTCTAAGGTACGGCGACAATCCATAATCGTCGAAGTGTAGGACGAGCGGCCCAGGTACGGCATCGTGGGTGATATCCGCGAGACTATAACTCACACTGTGCATGAGAGAAACGTGATGTGCTTTAGACCAAGTAAGAGTTACATTTCATATATATATATATATATATATATATATATATATATATATACTACACACACACACACACACACACGCT